TGCCATTGTTCATGTAAGAAAATACGTAATATGCATGGAAAATTGTATTTTTTAAAAAAAAAAAAAACACATGAGCGGGCCGACGGGCCGACCCGGCCCATGTGGGCTTGGGTCAAAGCCAGGTCACCTTTTTTTCCCCGATCCGGCCAGGAAAGCCCGTATGTGCGGTTTCTATTTTAACAGAGCTGTACTCGGGCTTCTTCTTGTGCGGGCCGGGCCGGCCCCGCCCCTTTTTTACATGACTACGTAATAGCTTCGTCTGAATTCATTTGTTACCTCGCTACTTGTGATCAACTTGCTTACGATAATTAAAATAAAAAATAAAAAATTGAGTGATCTTCTCTTTGCTTGTAAATAATTTAAAGATCAAGCAACATTTTTTTTCACCATGCGGGGAAATTGTGATGTCATTATTTATTTTATATAATATATAAATTATAGGACTGTTGATTGGCTTTTGTTTTTTTTTTTAAAATCAACTAGACTTTCAAATAATTTGAGAATAGCTTAAATTAGTTGTGAATAATCACTAAGAAATTGCTTAATTAATTTTGAATTAATTTTAAGTTAGTGAGAAAGACTGAACAGGAAAAAATATTTAAATTATGCTTATTGTAATGTTTTGTTTGATCGAATATTATTGTAATAGACGGCGAGAGCATGCATTGTACTGCTACCTAATGAGCCTTAAAGTAAATATTTTATATATCTTTTTTGCCAGATTTCTAAATTCCCCTTAAATTAATAGTTTATTTATAACAAAATCATTTTTTTTTTTGGGTTATTTTAAGAGAACAATAATTNGGGTTATTTTAAGAGAACAATAATTTGATACAAATAGGACAGAAATACAAGATTATTCAAAATAAAGATAATATATCTTGCTCTTAACTTTGCATCTCAAAATATGTCTTGAAGAGTAGTATAATAGTCGAAAATCACTTATATTTTAATAATGAGAAATGATATTTGTAAGCAATGTTAATTGAGTCAGTTGGGTCACTCTCACATTTTTCAATATGTTAAAATGCATTTTAACTTATTAAAAAATATGATCTCACTGTTACATAAACTGATGTCTTGTACAGTTTATTTAGTTCAAAACGTGTATAGTTCAAATATTTTTACACTTACACTAACTCTTACACCAATATGACATTAAAACGTCATATTGGTATGAAAATCTCCCACAACCCAACTTCATGTCTTGATGACAAATTGGTATAATGAACATTATTGCATTAAATTTGGTGCAACACTGTTCATTTGGTATTATTTTTTTTTCCCTCATTTTGTCATTCATTTTATACCACAATAAATTTTAATTCATATTATGTCCTTTTTGTATATCCTTTTATTGTTTAATAATTTATAGTTATTTTTAAATATTATTTTATTAATATTTACAATAAAATAACCATTGAAATACATTAAAATAAAATTCTCATTAAAGGACAAAATTAGTTGTACTTTAAGTTTCTTTTGTGAAAGAGTTTTTTTTTTTTTTTGCGATGTTGAATGTAATATTTTACATTGTGGTATTAAGAAAGAACTTGGCAGTTTTTACTCTTAAAAAAACTGTTACTTCAGAAAAATTTTCCCCTTCTGATGGTTAGGACTTGGGTTTAGTGTGTTATTGTTTGTGCTAGATTAATTTGAGTAAATTATTGTTGCCCTTGATTTAATTTGAATATGACCTTTTAATTTCAGTAAATTGTTAATAAAGTTGAAAATGTCGTCATTATTCAGTATTGTCAAAACGTGAAAACTGCAAACATCAATTTAAAAAAAAAAAATTGTGATAGTTTTATCATCATCGTCGTCGTGTATTGCTTTGTTTCAATAAAAATATTCAGTTGTTAATTTTTACCCCCACTGAACTTTACTAAATTCGACTTATATTTTACCTGATTCTTTAAAATTAGCTAATTATATTTAAGTTAATCTTATATATATCTTTTTTTCAAATGATAGTGACCGACTTTCCCATGATAACTAGTTTCTACTTAATTTATTACATCCCTATTCACAATCAACTATCCTTACGACATTTAAAAAGAGTGAATATTTTGTTTTATATTGTAAATGGTAAGTTTATTAGTGAATGACAATTGTACTCTTACAACCCTAGGAATAATTACCATTGTATTCCTAATCCTACTCTATAAATATAGAGTTTTGGTTCTCATTATAATACATACAAGTTTATTAACTTTTATTATCTCTTTTCATAAC